ACAAAATATGATTTGGACAATATTTCAGTAAATTAATATCTCCAATTTTGAACCCATATTTGGCAGCACGATCCTCGATAAGTTAGTCACATGCACTGACTTTTACCCATGAAATATTGATCTTTCTAAAGTCTTCTTTATTGCACATATATGTCCAAAGTATTCTCAAAAAAATTAAAAATGAACAAAATCAAAATTACCAAAAATCATAAACTAGCATGTAGTAATTGGCGATGGCCGCTGAACCGCATTGCTGGTCGGTCACCATGACAATGGAGTGGCATCAACGAATCAGCTACGAACAATACTTTGAATTAAATTGAACTAAAAAAAAACAATAGTAAGTGAATTCACCAAGCACCCGAAAAACAGCAGTGACACTAATGATGTCCGGAAATGTTACCTAGCACAAACACGTTTGAATGAAGAAAGAAAAAAAAAGTACTTTGTCACATAACTTTGCCATATGGCATAACAAAAGAACATTGTACAGAGAAATACAAGTGTATCAGTTACTGAAATAATGGCGGCGATCATTTCCCAGATTTCTATTTCAATGTAACAATATGCACTGTTTTAAGTATACGTGTTGTGTCCCGACAAATAAGCACGTGGTCTATTGATGATTGTGGGTTTTATAATGTTCCGCTTCTTGCAGAACGCTTAATAGAAGAATATTCAAATTGCTGAAATTAAAATAACATTCCCCATATGGTTAACGAACACTAATGGACTATAAAATCATTGGATGACGTCATCCAGTTTCCTGTTATTTGGCGACATCGCGGATGCAGAGCCTTTCTAGTGGTGACGTCATGATTCATTCGGGTACAATTGTGCATTCATTTTATTTATTTTTAATTTAATATTTATATTTAGTAATTTTGTATCGTTAAACGTTGTTTTCGCAGCAAATGTGGCTGTATTCGTTTGATAAAATAATGAAACGCACGGAAACGCATGTGCTTCGAATTACCCTATATCACGGACGCACCGTAGGTACGTGTAGGTTAGCTATGGCACGCGTTCCTTTGTTGATATCGCCCGTGAGATCAATATTGGAAATGATGAAGTGTGCGCGGGTTGAATGCCGTGAAAGTTCAAGTACGTTAAAGAACATCCCGAATCTTCAATGGTTCGTCGCCACAATCCACCGATTCTTCAATTGAACTCTAACCCTCGACAATACTCAACATTCAATGATCAAACTCGTAGAAAAAAATAATAACATTACTTAATAAAAAAAATAATTTGAGACAAACGATAGAATTATATAGAGTGACCAAGTTCAAATTCAATACAGTCAGAATGTCAGAATATTTGATAGGGTTTGGGAAATCGTCAATATACATAATATGGCTGTCTGGTCAGTGACCTTGTGGGTCCCATGTTACTTTTCACCAATCAGAAACGCCACAGTCTTTAATGATATTAAATGTATTTGCATATTGCGCAAGTAAGACTGGGGCAAGGCGATAAATTATAAGCCAGTTAAATATGCATTCACCGTAAAAATGTGACCCATTAAAAAGTCATTGGAAGAAGTCGAATTGACTCTCACTAATGTTATCTGCCTAAAAACACATCGAACCACGCAGTGTCACTGCTTGACCGCCCTTCTATGGAGATTTCTGTAAGAATGAATGTTTTAAAACATCACGGCAATAATCACTGACGAGTTTATGAAAGTATGGCGACTGACTGTTATCGATAGGATAGGCGGTGGGGGACAATCTGTGAATTTCATTGTAGACATAGTATCGAGATCACAGTCCATCCACACCGGTGTTGAGGGACTGTGATCGAGATGGAGTACAATGTGAACTGTCGTGTCGAGTCAACATTTTTTTTTCTCAACAGAACGCGGCGCGACGACCACCGCCCTTTAATGACTGTGTCGCCTTATCCAATTACCACATTCAGTTGTTTTATTGTAAATCCAATTCTAGTTCCTCTGTTTATTTTCATTTTGTCTTTTTCTTGTTAACCGTTCTCAATCTGCATTAGTGTTCGTTTGTAGTATACCATATTTAATGATTACCCTGGCAACCAATTTGGAATCGACTAGTGGCGAAAATCTTACACTGCTATTCTTAAAACATATTTTCTTCCGAATGTTATCATTTTAATCTTGGTAGGAGATATAATCCAATCAAATTCGTGCTAACAAGTCTAGCCCCCCCCCCCCCGTTAGCGTATATACAATGTATATACTAGTATGTGTGAATTGAGTGTATCAGTTGTATCAGTCCATGGAAAATGTGTACATTAAAGTTAGGTGCATGCCTCCAAGTTGAAAAGAAAATGTGTAAGCAAAATATGAAATGGTAACACAATCGCACGAACGCTTGTTTTTGATATTATATATTTATTCTAACAAAAACTGTCAAAATTTGTATTGAAGAACAATTGTACAAGACAGACACGCACTTGAAGGCGTTAGACAACATTAACGATGCCGGCGTTTGTGATAAAAACAGACATCTCACACAATTTAGATATACTTATCGGATAATCAATAGAGAATTAACAATACAGTGGATTAGTCGAACAATAATAACATTGTCAGCGATATGCGCGATAGCCCAAGGCTGTAGTTCATTGATAGACACCCGGCCCAGGCACTGTGATAGGCTATATCGCAAAGTTCTAATCGACACAGTTGAATACCGCGAATGCTTTTAATACTGAATGCACACATAAATATCGTAGCCATTTTCTGAAAGTATAACAAACGATTTGCATATAGTCCAAACAGAGAACGTCTTTTCTATCAAATCCACGCTGTTGACGGATGTTCCGGTGCCGTATGGTTTCAATTCTTCCATATTGACTTTATTTTAACGACTGTCCACTAAATAAAACAACATTACCATTATTATAAATCAGACCACCCGCATATATCAACGATCCGCCCCTAACGACAATGACCAGCCCTCCTGCACAACAGCTTTCTCGTCCCTGGCAGTTCGATGATTTATTACGCCCCACTCTATAGTCATGGCAGCGGGCCTGATATGTCTGGGGCGTGTTGTGCGATCATTTGGCGGCGACTCTTGGATTCTTTTCTTCGATACAATTCACGCATGCTTGCGCATTTCATTTTCAACTGTAAGACATTTAAAGCAACCAAGGGGTAAAATGTGTTAATTGAAATAATAACCACACTTTGCTTAAATTTTGTCTAAGTTGACGGCAGTTTTTTGCGGAAACGCGGTGCGACGAAGTAATGGTACTGCGATTATTAGTGGGAATGTAACGATTGCCGCTGCAATTGAAGATAATATCATAACTAGACTTGTTGTTTGTAGCTCGTCGGTTCCCCTTTGTAGCATTGTTCTCCTGTGACTGGTCTCTATCGTACTCTCGTGTCTATTCATTCGGCCACAACCGATTGCAATTCAAGTATACCCAGACTCGGGAGTTTGGGTCCACCCAAGTTTGAAACTTTTCTAATTTGCCTGAAACTCCTGAAATGTTTTTTTTTTCGTGTTACCCACCAACTGATGTTAGCGTTGAAAACAAATTCGGAGTCGTCTTCTTAGGTTACGTGTTTCTTTGACGGGACTTTGAGTAAGCTTGGAATAAGTACACTTACTAACCACTCCCCTTCCATTACCATATCACAAAGCGCTCTGGTAAAAATACGCTGTAAATTAAAGGGGCTGTCCCAATAGGGATTCGGGAATACGGTCCCCTTTTTTGGGGGGAAGGAGACGTCTTCAGCTTATTACCGTGACGAGGTTCAACTCAGTATATTTGACATTTTATATAGAACATTATCGTTACGGTACCTCGCAAACATGCGGCAGAAAAGTCGACAGATTGTTGGTATTCAAAAACACTAGACCTGTAACTCGTGGTTTGTGCTACACAAACGGTGGATGAATGAATTTCCCGTTAAAGCAGTGTATTGTGCCATTGTACGTGCGCCTTAGAAAGCGCCCTTCTCGTATTACATACTCTGCTACCGACCAAATATCGCATGGATTTCATTTTTTTTGTTCAAAACTAGTAAACACTTTTTTTTTCCTTCACTCTGTATATCATCTTCTTCTGCACCGGTACATGAATTAAGGATTATTCTGGAAGAGTGCTTTTGTTTATTGCCTGTGGGGTGCTGATTGTAGCCGGTATTGTAGCGCTGTGTAGGGGTATCGATTTAATAAGATAATACCATGAAGTACGCTTCAGACATAATTACCTGTTAGCCCTCTATTGTGCTTCTTGTGTGCTCGCAATAGAGTCAATCCGCTGAGAGTCAGCTGCCATCGGGCTCTCCGGCAATACATAGAAACGGGATATAAACTAAACTCAGCTGTCACGCTAGCCTGGTTTCAAGGAGACCGTTTGTATGAACAATAGGTTGATGATATTTCTGTGTGTGTTTTTTTTTGACTGATTACGCGAAAAAAAAAATAGTTATAATTTTGCGTATATCGTGCATCGCGTTCAACCGGCATTGTTTCCAAATATAACGTGAATGATTGGTCGGTTTGTGTTCAATGAGGCGGCGTGGTTCTTACGAATTGACGCTAACATCGAACTCAGCCTATTTTTAAACAAAGTTATGTTTAATGTAAAGTTTAATCGTTACGCGGAAACATGTGAACGATTATTATAAATACGGGCCTCATAGTTTATGCCCAATTACAGACAGAAAACAAGGCCGAAAATGCTGGCGTTAATTGATCATAATTAACCGGAGGTTGATTAGCGTGGCGTGGCTTGTAGCCTCTACCAATCAAAGCGAAACTCGTCAATGGGCCGTACTACGACCTTGTCAGTTTCTTTCCTTCTTAGCTGGGTACACCGACGCATTTGATTGGATAATAGAACACTGGGTGCCGACTTTTCCCGTTATTTGACCAATCGTACTTGGTATAACTTATACATGTTTTTATAAACCCCTATGTTGTTCCTACTAACCAATCAGTCTTGTTTTTATTACTGTCACGTGTTGGCTTTGTAATATTTGGGAGGTAGTTTGAATGGTGAGCTTGAGCTGTAACTTGATTATGATGGATGAGACCCGGCTGGAACTCCCTCAATTTTAGCTCCAACATGCGAAAGCAGTACTCTTGTTGTTAAAAAAAAACGTGGAAATGCATCAGCCGAGCACAACTATGGCGTTTAGCATTGAGTCTATCATGTCAACTCCTATGACGACTGCAACTCCGATATTGCACAACGGGTATAGTGCATTTCATCGCCAACCTAACGCCGTCACGACAGCAGCGGTTCTGTGTCCCATACCGCAGCAAACACCAGCAGTCGTACTGCCAACATCCACCTATATGAACGTCACAAACGCTCAGCATCTGACAGTTAGCTGCAAGAGTCAATATATTACCGGGGTGTCAGGAGAAACGGGACAGCCCAGCCAACAACAACTCACATTAAATAGCAGCAGTAGTCCCGCGTTGTCCAGTGAACCAGCCACTACTCTGGATATACCGAATGAAGCCTGTCTTAAACAACAACACATTGACGATCATCAAACGTCTATAACAAGACGCGACTCGGAAGGTGAGTAACCGATCCATCGATAGAATATTGTTAATTTGATAAATGGTGGTGTTAGCCCCGTTTTTGATGTTTAACATACGTAACGAACGGGAATATAATTTACGGATGTGTCAGACCCCGTTTTATGGGCGCACACTCTTCAAAGGAAGCTGACCCAGAACTCTAGCTTCATTATAATATCAACTGCCAATACGTCCATGCTGTATTTCTGTTCTTATTTCACAGCCATTAGGTTGCCCGACCACGATGTTATCGTTTTTTTTTAAATATATATTTTGTATTCGTTTTTAATATAATTCAACTTCTTCTTTTTGTTGTTCTAGCATTTGCAGATCGAGATGAAAGCGACGCGGACGGGGTCTCAAAATGGAGGGACGAACAGTGTGATCAGTTTGACAACGGTGACGATGACGATGACCTAGTCAACGATGACTCTGGCACAGGGTCGAGTAAAACACGGCGTCGTCGCACGGCGTTCACCAGCGAACAGTTGCTCGAACTGGAAAAAGAATTTCACAGTAAGAAATACCTATCTTTAACCGAACGCTCACAGATTGCCAGTGCCCTTAAACTGAGCGAAGTGCAGGTTAAAATTTGGTTTCAAAACCGACGGGCCAAATGGAAACGTGTTAAAGCTGGTATTACAAACCCTCGAAGTAATGCCACCACGAACAATAACGCACCGAAAATAGTCGTCCCTATTCCAGTCCACGTAAACCGTTTTGCAATACGCACTCAACAACACAATATGGCACCCAACATGCAGCAGCAACTACCAAGACCATGACATTACAATCTTTTAAGACAACATCAGTTTATGAAGGACGGAGTCAGAACAATGAAATCAGCCCCACCGATTGCCGTAAAGACGAAAAACCACCTTAAAAAGTAGTGCGCATTTACAACGAATTTTAGACGAAAGCAAGCAATAGTTGGTTGAAAGAATATTGTTGTCGTTAGTTTTGTGTTGAAAATCATTTGGATTTCGTCGACTACTGGCGTTTGTTATGTTTCTGTGTGTAAAAACAAACGCCGGTGATATGCGAGCAGGGATTGCTTCAGTTCTGTATGATGCAGATTCTTGCCAATAATAGTTGCAATTGTCCATTTCGTGGTAACGTAAAAATGTCATTTTTTTATTATCGTCATCTGTAAATGTTTCGATGTGCTTTTCAAGAATTTTAACAGTTCTATTTTTTGAAATTATAAACATCGACACTTTGGCAAGGTTCGCCAAGCAATACCAGTTTAAGGAAACCAGTGTACATATGTGTATGTGCCTTTCTTGTTACTACCCTTGTTATTATTTAAAATAAATTATTGACAAAAAAATACTATTCCAAAAATAAGGCATGTTTCCTTTTTTTTATAGGCTGTATATTTGGCTTCAACACAGTGTTTGGGGTCAACGTTGACATAGTTCTCTTGAAAAAAAATCAAATTTATTGTGTTTTTTCCCAGTTTTAAATAGTTTTAACTTCGAAGGTTTTAGAAAGATAAATTTCGAACAACTAATGTCAATATGTCTCAGTATGTTCTACTATTATTACCTATGTGAACCCACTGTTATGTGGCTGCCAATGTCAGAGGTGGATTTACACAAAATGGACTACTAACATCAGTCGATTTTTGAATAACATAGGTTAGAACTGAACATGCTATATATTAATATAACGTAATTAATTACCACCCATGTACGATGATCGTCTTCCGCGTTTACAATATGTCCGTTTTTGTCACGATTGATGTATTGTTTTGGACGACACTGCATCGCTAGAATTAATAACTCGTTCGAGTTACTTTTTTTTCTACTTGAATTGCCGTTTTCAGTTATAGGTTAGCTTTGTCTGTTTGTTGTTGCTGTCTTGAATAGATAGCTCTATAAGTTTGTTCAAAGTTGTTTTGTTCGGGATTTTGAATTCATCGACGTTCTCCAATTTTGTAAATCTTATTTTACATCGGATCCTACTGTGTTTTGTATTATTATGTATATATTTTTTTAATGGTATTTCGTGTTGGCAGTTAAAACAATTCGTTTTTGTCGTCAATATTATTCCCCTACACGGGCGGTTGATGGTTATTTGTTGTGATGTTAGCAACAGTGTTAAATTCTACGAATGGGTTGTCCATGACCGCTCAAGTAGACATATATGCGAATAAAAATAACAATGTATTAGCCGATTTCGAATTTCCATGAACTTAAAAGTACAATTAATGTTGGTTCACATGGGTAATTAGTAACATTAAATAAAATGAACTTCGTCCAATATTCAGGAGTGAATGCTAAGTTTGAATTTATGAGGTTGGTTTTTCATGCAGTCGGCAACTCGGAAGCTTGTCTCCATACCGCGGCGGTGAGCGGAGAGCGAATTAGTACACTAAGCCAAAATACAAACACGAAGAGAATTAAGAGTTTTAATGTATTCTTTACTAATGTGGCTTGACCTTAGTCGACAAAAAATAGGTGAACTCGACAATGACCATAAAATAACACAAGTATACGCTACAACTCTTCGATTCCAGCTCGCGAGGCGAGTGCGGCAAAATCTACATTTTGGACTTCAAAAACACGCATAAAAGCGTGAATATTCGTTGTGTCATATGTACATATGTTGTGTAAAACAGAATAAGGAAATTAAAATTACACGCAACACATTTATTTGTATCCAACTGGCAGTTCTATGTTGATCGTATTTTTTTTCTCAAAATGGCCGCCGCCATCTTTGTGAAATCGGAGATACTCGTACCATTTCTCAACGACTCTTACACTCAAAGAACGCACACGTTTATCGGTAATATTCCCAATCTACAATTTCGTTGTTTCCACATAACATAGTTGTATTCTCAACGTCAAATTGTAAACTTGACGTAAGATATCGTGTGTTTTAACCCCCTTCTCGAGTAAGTGCTATGTGTAGTAGGGATATATGAATAGTGGTTCAACAGTTCAACTTTTACTTGGCTGCATGGACGGTATTATGGATGAAACGACTGAGACGGTATGTTGACCGTAGCATGGCCGACTGGGTACCTCTTGTAACCCCTTCACATTGTAAACTCTCTGTCTTTGTTCACGGTGTGTGTAAACGACTGTAAAGTCAAAAATCGGTTGTTTAAAAATTTACAGTTTGGGAGAGTGTTCTTTCAAGTTATGCCGCTCAACGGCGGCCGTCGACGTTATCCGAAGTCAAGTCACTAAATTTATCCATAGTAAAAGAATCGTCCCCTTTGTTTCTCGCTAACGTGTTTATTTATAATTATTTTGTTGTTTGGCAGATCGCAGCTGACTCGCGTCATCGACGCTTTCACATAATCCTTGCCAATGTATTGTTTTTGTCTTGATTCAAAGAAATGGTGAGATAAACAAAAACAACATTGTGTTTTCGTTAAAAACAATTAAATGTGCGAGGCGGTGAATCAAACATTTCGCCGTGCAGTTAGTTTTGCACAGCCGAGGCGGTACATCAAAGAAACGCCCGGATGACACATACTACCTTATTAAAATCGTGTCACGTGACAGCAGTACGGACTTCATTTCCATATAATTAATAGCCATTTAATTTTGTAAATGCGATAAAAATAAATGACTAATGGATTTATTGGGAATTTTAATTCCGAAAAATAAACATGCGGACGTTTTGTGATTTGTAGAGAAATATTTGGAATTAGCGAGTCCATTTCTGAGATGATAAAATAAACATGACTGGGGGAAGACTGATAGGTTCACGCATTCGCCATTATTGGGAAATGAGACGAAACAGCGTGAAAAAAGGACAAAAGCGAGCAGAATTTTGTTGTTTACGCCTTAGTGATGGCGCACAAAGGAAGTGTTTCAAATTAGCCACAGAAACTGTATAATGTAAAATGCATATATGAATAATCATTCTTTTTCCAGCAATATCGTTTTTTTTTTTTTTTTTGTCTGCATTCGAGAGAAAAATAAATTGCTAAAAATGCAATATTTCGCAATGGCTGTTATAGGTTGTTGATTTCATTGTGTATCCAGAGAGTTTGTTGAAATTAACCATATCTTACCACATTTAATTTCAATTTAATTTTTCTAACATTGTTTTTATTTGTTCTTGTTCGTTTAGTTCGCTTATTTGCAGTCGTTGGTGTGTATAGTTGATTTTCTCACAATTCTGTGTGCGTTAACTTGAAGCGACTTCAATAGAAAACGAAATTCAGAAAAAAATGAGATTTTTATTTTTAACAAGTAGTGAATTAGGGGTTTCTTTTGAAAAAACTCTTATTCGCTCCAAATTTTAGATTTATTAGTGGGGCGGAGTCGAGTCGCTTCACAACATACTAGTACTTTTAAGATCAGTTCAAATCGGATAGCACAGCGATATACATGCATGCATTGATTGTGTATCAAGTAAATTCTGCTCTTGAAAATGCAAACACTGTTACGATGGTGAAGAAGCAGGGCTTGCTGCACGGTTTGAGCTGGCACTGACCCCTGTCCCGCTTTCGCCAAATATTACGCTAGGGTACACCAATGATGTATCGACAAACTTATAATCCATACGCCGTTTTGCCAACTAACCTCGAATAAACGCCCTTTAGCGGCCACTGAATAGAAGTATCAAGCCGAAATGACGTGTTTTCATGGGATATTTTTTCAGATGACGAGTCACAAAACCTCGTCAAGTACGGGATGGCCTGTTAAGTAAAAGTGTCCCGGTGTCTCTAATCGCGTTGAACGCATCTCTCGGCTACCATTGTGCTCGGTAACGCGTCGCTTAGCAACCAGTAGCGTATGACAAATGGCTCTCTAAACGGCGACAACAGTTATAATGGATTTTGGGGATTATATAAAAGATTGTCATTTATTTGATGTTGACTGTATCTTCGTGTTTGTCATATGTAAAGTTGATAAAATGGCATACTGTGGCGGATATGTGTAAGCCGGACAGACGCTGCCAAGGTATCGACGTCTATGGGTCATATTATCGCGGGATAAAAGCAAAGTATTTAAGGTCGAATAATCGCGTGTCATCTGTTAAAATATTAGTTTTTTTTGTGTAACTGAAACTGGTACTTCATATGGTCATGGCAACGGGCGTTGTTAAGTGCAGAAACGTACATTATTTAGATACGCAGACAGGCTCACCGAAGTGCTCCGTCAACTCAAGACAAACACGCCCAAAACAAGTCAGTATTACGTAATGACTGCGTGAAACAGCGCTGTTAAAAAGTTGGAAATCAGACGCGGGACGAAGTTCTGGATAACGAATATTTCGTGTCTGGATAAATTATTAATGACGTCACCAACCAGAATGTGAAGCCTTACTGCCACATGTTAGAAATTAGTAATATGGTCTAATTACGTATAACCTCAGACTAGTAATACAATTGTATTACTAGTCTGAGGTATAACACACAGTAAAGTGGTTTCTTACAAACGGGATTCGAACTGTAACACCTAATTATAAGCACAGATGATGTGACTAGGCTCGCCCAAGACCTCCGCCTTTTGTTCAGTAGTATTCGTAAATTTGATTTTGAGCAGGGATCGAAAAAAGTCGTATCTGGCCTGTAACACAATAATAAACATATTGAATTGTTTACCACTAAATTACTAGCTTTTGAGGGAACAAGTTGATAGTTGTTATTTTAAGCATAGACCTTAGAATCTTTTTCTAAGGTCTATGTTTTAAGTCAAACACTAAATGACACAGTTTTGCTGGTATCTCCTTGACTCAAGGGTGAGACGGGTCATATTAATCTAAGTATTATTCAAATTAATCATTAATTATACCAATCCCAGTGTTCGATGTGGATAGCGACGCATGTTGTTGTATTTGGTACACGTGGTTCGTACAAAGACGACAAACCAAAATACATCCAAAACTAGATAAATCATTACAGTCGAAGTTAGAGGGAATGTTCACAAACATGTTATCATCATGGATGTGTTCAACTTTTCACCACCAGACATTCTCGTCCAAATTTGTCTGCACTTTTTTCTTATATTCGTCAATATTTCTGGAAATGAACTTTAATTTTCAAGCC